GTGTGGGTGTGGGTGTGGGTGTGGGTGTGGGTGTGGGTGTGAGTGTGAGTGTGGGTGTGGGTGTGGGTGGGAGTGTGGGTGTGGGCGTGGGTGAGGTGTGGGCGTGGGCGTGGGTGTGGGTGTGCGGTGGTGGTATGTGAGTGCGGATACACTTGTCTTGTTCGACAACACCCACATCCCCACCCATACACACCCATACCCACACTCACACCCATACCCACACCCACACCCACACCCACGACCGGTTTCGACCTTGTTCAAGGATGTCTTCAGGTGGCTTAAGATATCTTAATCGATTTCGAGAATCAATTAAAATATCTTCTACATTGTCGTATGAAAGCAAATTTTTTGACGAAATGTAGAAATATTGAAATGGGTACAATTTAGAAGAGCGTACCGCGACCTTTGTTATACTCACTCTTCGTATCTGTTGTGATTTAGTTACGTCAATGTCTTTTTTGAATCCTTTAAGTGACGGTTCATTCTGCATGGTTTGTTTGTAGTTTTTGTTTTTGTTTTTGTGGTGAGTACTTTTTTTTTCTTCTGTTTATCTAGAATATAGCAGAAAGTAAGTGATTTAGTTGAAGAATTACGACTTTGATAAAATCGTTTTTTTTGTTTATTTATGTATTAGAAGAAAATGAATATGAAAATGTATTTGCAAATGATATGATAGCTGACATGTTTATTGTATAGAAACGCAAGTCGTCGCTATTTATGATGTTGTTATTGGTTTAGCAGGATGTTTTGGTTCTTTGTAGAATAATGGGTTAGGCTTTTGTAAGAATATCAGATGGTCGAATATTGTTAGTGTGAAGACTTACTTTGTTTGAAGTCATGTCGACGGTAGGATTGATGTGGACGTTTGCGGCGAACGAATTCGGTTTTTGCTTTTGGATTGTTGCGACATCCAACTATTTGGTTGGGTGTGAATGTGGGTGTGGGTGTGGGTGTGGGTGAAGAAAAGACGAACACCCATACCCGCACCCACCCTTTGGGCTATGTGCTGGTAAAAAATCTATTTTTGTCGCATGTAAAATAGTTGAGTTATAGCTGAAATACAACGATTTTTTTGAACACTGATCCGAATTACCCCAATCGACTATATACAGTCATTTGTTCAATTTGACCTGTTCCGTCAATAAAATGATCGCGCAATTTTTTTTCAGTCGAAGTCGACAATGACGCTACCGATGACTTTTTTCTTCTTCATTCACTTCATACTTCATATAATTTGAGCATATGTTATATCAGTTAGTTTAGGGGTCAAACACATTAGAAGAAATAATGCTAAATTGACCACTAATTCGCTTCCAAAAAGGTGAATTATATGTGAATTAACCAACCACATTGCTTAATTCAGTATTATTTTGTGTAGTGTGTTTCAGGCCTCACATTCACGTGGCCATCAGGAGAAAAATGAAAATATTTTTCATCATAGATTGAATTATACTTTTGAGATTATTTTCTTATCGGATCGCATGAAGTTGGAACACTTCATAATGTGTCTAGTATATAGAGCCTCACTTGAAGATACTTTACCATTAATTTAATCGAAATTATCTTTATTTCCAACAAGTCTTGAAAGATTATTGTTACAGTTGGACACTATTATTTAGTTTGATTGCAATGATAAGAAAAAATACAAACATATATGAAACAATAAAAAATCAACGTGCTTTTCTTCCATATCGAATGCTATTAGGAAGTGGTCGATTAACATAATTAAATGATTTATTAGATTTAGTTAATAAATCATTAGAATTTATTTTATCATTTCTATTTGATTAGTTATCTTATATTGAACAAAACTGGGGAAAATTAACATGTTAATTATGAAGCACGAATCTCTGCTCAATACATGTTAGCATTAATGACAAGTTCACAATTTCTTGCCTTGAAATATTTAATACAAATTAAAATAAATGCGTTTTTATTTCGATATGATTGTTCGTTTAAAAATGATCTTGAAATGAGTTTTTTTAAAGTTTGTATTGTATAGAAAACATTTTTTTAATGTGAATAGTTCTGTTTTAAAATAAAAAAAAAATTTTTTTAATTTATTTAACATTTATGTATTTATCTACGAGATAAACGAGCATCATATATCTGTTTCATATTATATTGTTAGCTACTATAACATGGAGAATATAAGTGAATTACATACTTGGCTCGATGGATATTCTATTTCACATAAAAATTCAGTAAATATTTTAATACACAAAATTTGTGTACCAGCAATTACTTTTACTATTTTGAGATTTCCTTGATCAATATCAATGCCTTTACCAAAATTTACTCGTGAAAATCTTGGCAACATTTCTAGTCATATTATTCGAATATTGGTTATTAGATTTACATAAGCATTTTATTTTCATTTATCAACAAGAATGACTGTAGCAATGTCGATCATAATTTTATCTGCATTTATTCTTTTGGCTAGAATGCAACAAAAAAAGGACGGATATTTCGAATATCATTGATTATATTTATTATTGCGTGAATTAGACAGTTTGTTGCACATGCAATAGAAGGAAAAAATTTTTTTATCTCTTGAAGATTTTAGATTTTTAGCTGTTGGGTCAATCTAGATATTAGCTAGTGCCTATCGTACTGCTGGGCAGAGGCGGCGCGAGTGGGGGATGATGGGAGATTACATCTGCTTTCGAAACTTACGCTAGAGCTTTCTCCGATTTTCTCGTTTTCCGAAGAAACACACCCCCCGTTTTTGTCTCTTCGCACCATCCCTGCTACTGGGATTGAATATTAATTTGTTTTATATCAATCAATAAATTTTGCTATTTACATTTCAAAAAGAATTGATGATGTTTTTTTTTCTTTTCTTTTATTTTCTTTCAAATAAGTCAACAAAAAATGAAAAATAAAATATAAAATCATTCATGTAAATCATCAATGCTATTTATTTATGACAAGCTTTTTTGGGTCAAGAAAAGTAAGCTCCACATGTAAACTCCAAATTTGGAGCTCACTTACGCATCCACGTTTTACCATAAAATACAGTCCATGTTTTTCGGTTTAAAGCAGTACGGCCCTATTTGACTGAGATACTAGGTCGAGTTATATCTGATGTTTAATAGATACATTGCTTGGGATGCGAGTAGCATTGCCTGTGATGCTAGAGGCAATACCTGGGATGCTAGTAGCATCACCTGAGATGTTATAGGCATCACCTGGGATGCTACAGGCATCGCCTAGGATACCAGTGGTATACCAGGTAACGCTACCAGTATGCCAGGTAATGCTACTAGCATCCCAGGTAATGCGACTAGCATCCCAGGTGATGCCCCTAGCATCGCAGCTGATGCCTCTAGCATCCCAGGTAAAGCCTCTAGCATCCCAGGTAAAGCCTCTAGCGTCACAGTTGGCTCCTTTGGTGAGCTCCTAATTTGAAATTTACACAGCTCGGACCTCACTTTTTTGACCCGGAACTTTATAACCTCAGCTGAGGTCAATGAGTAAAATGTGTATGCGTAAGTGAGCTCCAAATTTGGAGTTTACGCAGTTTGGAGCTCACTTTTCTTGACCGCTTTTTTGTTCTCATTCTGTTGTTGTTGATGATGATGTTGGTCTTTTAGATAATATTTGTTTAAGTTGTACTTTTTTTCTAGACTTAATTGATTTGGATATTGAACTTCAAGTTCGATAATTAAATCGCCATATGTACCGGGATTTGATGTTGATGGCATACCTTCATTTGATACACGTTGTTTAAATCCCGGTCTAATAAAAAACAAAACAATTCCTTTTTTAAAACAAGTTCATTTTTTTACGTAACAATTTCATTAATAGAAACTTCAACTTGTCTTCCATCAAGCTGTTGAATATATAATCTTGTACCTGTTAATGCTTCTGCTAAACTTATTGTAGCTTTATAAATAAGATCAATATTTTCACGACGAAAATGTGGATGCCGTTGATCTCTTATAACCATTATAAGATCAGATGACGTACCATTTGAATATTGATCACCTTCACCTTCAAGCAATATTTGTGTACCTGGTAGACAGCCACGCTCAATGGTTATTGGAACAACTTTTTGAGGAGTAGTTGATGTACCATCAACAAGCATTACCTAAATAAAAGAACCAAACAAAAAACAAATTTCTATTACAATCTTCCAAAGAAGAATGTAAATATATAGAAGGCGACAATTCTTACTCGTCGTGTAAGTGTAACATCAAGCGTTCCACCGTGATAACAATTTTCAAGTGAAACTTCAAGATCATGATATAATGGTGCATCATGTTTTCTTTTTAGACCACGAGCAGCTGGTTCAGCAGCACGTGCATATGCACTTGCATAAAAATCTATAAGTAAATCATTGTATTTAATATTTTTTGGTTTCATATTTACTCTCATATGGATTATTATCACGAAAAAAATCTTGAAAAACTTTATGACCATCACCATGAAATACATAATGTTCAGTCAATTCATTGTTTGGTCCTATTGGTACACCATTTTTTAAACCTTGAATACCATATCTATCATAAATACCGCGTTTGTTACCTTAATAAAACAAAGAGGAACAAAGAGGATTATTTATTAAATATAAGTATATATACATACTATCAATTAATACATCATACGCTTCTCCAAGATCATTAAATATACTAAGAGCATTAAAATCAGTTGGATTTCGACTCGGATGAAATTCAGGAGCAAGTTGCTGATAACTATGTAACCAATGAAAATAAAAATCAAATACATTTATTTAATAATTGTTTTTTTTACATACGCCGATATTATATCACTATCTGATGCTTTTCGATGTACACCCAGAATTTGATAATAATCTTGTTCCATACTAGAAAAAAATAATAGAATTTATTGAATTTCAATTTGTTTTTCTTTTTAATATTGATTGAAAATAATTAGACAAAAATATTTCATCAAAAATTTGTTGAATAAAACTTTAAAGAGTACTCTATTAAACTATTAAAAAGTCACATTACTAGGACCATGACTAGGATTGAAATCAAAAAAGAAACTTTATCAGAATCGGAATCGAAAGCTAAACCAACAAAAAACTTTATCAGGACTAAAAATCATGGTCCTGCATATCTCTAATCGTAGTACTTACAAATCACTAGCAGATGACGATGTTGATGATTTAGGAACACAAGAACTTGAATATCCTGTAGCACCAACGGTCGTAACTGACATTGATGATGGCCGACCTAAAAAGAAATTTACAATTTAATCTTTTTCATAGTAATAAATAAACGTACCTGTATCAGTTGAAGCATGTATCATTTATTGTTTGATTAATACTGTTACATTATAAAACTTTTTGCGTAAACGATCTCGAAGATCGGGTAATTCGTTATCTTTATAACTAAAACACAATTTGTTGAGTTTTTAAAGGCTACACATTGTTTGCTAAGTAAAACTATTAAAATGCTAAGTAAAATTTCTATGTGCTCAGTAAAAATATTGAATGCTCAGTTAATTACAAGTTTCTCACAATGGAGGTGCGTGTATTGATGAGCGAAAAAGTGGCACATGTTCGGGTCAAATGAAAGCTCTCAACGCCAAACTAACAAGGTTAAAATATTAGCGGCTGTTGGCTTGCCTAAAGGAAGATATTTAACTTTTAAGTGTAGGTGTAAAAATGAATCAGGAAAGGTTTTCTCCACTATTATAAGGACAAAACATAGTGTTGTTCGGGGCGATTAGGGGGTTTGTAGGGACCCTCTTTCATATGGCCCGAACAACACTATGTTCTGTCCTTACAATAGTAGAGTGAATTTTTCCTGTAGGTCATGGAAACGGCATTTTCTATCAATCACTAGAAAAATTCACTCCGCTACTATAACTACAAAACATAGTGTTCTTCGGGCCGATTATACGGTTTGTAGGGTCCCTCTTTCATATGGCCCGAACAACACTATGTTTTGTCCTTATAATAGTGGAGAAAACCTTTCCTGGTTCATTTTTACACCTACACTTAAAAGTTAAATATCTTCCTTTAGGCAAGCCAACGGCCGCTAATATTTTAAC